CTTCCCCCTAATCCTCTAGTGGCTGTCTCATTGACAGCCACTAGAGGCGCTTGCGTGCTTCTCACCGTGATTTTCACAGTGAGAGCACGCCAGCGTCCATAGGAAAGCATTATGAATGCTTTCCTATGTGACTGGCTGAATGCGCGCGCAGCTCTTGCCGCGCGTGCGCATTCAGCCGGCGGGGCGTAACGGAGGCGGAGAGGAGGAGGAGAGCTCTCCGCCCAGCGCTGGAAAAAGGTAAGTTTTTACCCCTTTCCCCTTCCAGAGCCGGGCGGGAGGGGGTCCCTGAGGGTGGGGGCACCCTCAGGGCACTATAGTGCCAGGAAAACGAGTATGTTTTCCTGGCACTATAGTGGTCCTTTAAACATACAGGACCACTGCACCCAGACCACTTCATTAAATGGTCTGGGTGACTTTAGTTGGCCTTTAGGAGTAAAGCCATTTTCGAACATTTTGACACTTACCTGAGTCACCTGAAAGCCCACAGTCTGGTTCTACGTCACATATATGCCTAAAGCATTAATTTCCTAATTTATTCTGTCTGTTTTTAGATGGAATTTAGTGGCTGAAAAAAATAGCTAGCACACTTCCGCCAATGACTTCTGCCCAAAATTAGACAAAATTTATATTGTTAAATTAGAAAGGGAATTTACCCTTTGAATATCTCTTTGTATGCAAAGAGGTGCCAGACTTCAGGCACCCAGGGGTACCAGTTAAGGCAAAACCATTCAAATATAGTTTGACTCTTAACAGTGTGATGGCTGTAGTGGTTATGGTGCTTAAAAAGACCCTCTTTACCTATTGCTAATGCAGAAATTCCACTTCCACATTAGCAATACTGATTTTCCACATATTTGGATCAGCTGACAAGCTCAGCCATTCAATGCTGCTTAAATATGATTGATATCGCTAATGTGTTATTAGAATGTTTGCATCAGCAATTCTGGTAAGTGGGAGCCAGTCCATGGACTCCCATTTTGGTCAAACCATTCAAACAGTTACTATAAAAGGAGATGGGGCTTGCAGCATAATAACCATTACAATGTTTTGGAGGCATTTTGCCATTTAGAGTGCTTCCTTAAAATCTCTGATAAGATTAAGCATTTTTAGCTTATTTAGCATTACTAGTCATATGCAGTCCTAGACTGAGGCGTTCTATTTTTATATAGGACATTCAATAGAGAACCGAGTTTTCTCTGAGGCAGTTGTACCAGCACTGGTCCTTAACAGTTTAAACAAATTAAGTGCTACGTAATACACTGTCAATCACTACGTAAGACACTGTCAATCACTACATAAGACACTGTCAATCACTACGTAAGACACTGTCAATCACTACGTAATACACTGTACTTTGTGACTTTGTGCAAGAGCTGGTGGCCTGTGCTCCAAGCCTGGACTGGTCCCTGGTATATTATCTGCATCTGACCTGGCTTCCAGACTACAACGAGTAAGTATGGTGTCCATGGAGGTGTTAGTGACCTCAGGGTGATATGAGACACTAATAATGGCATTCATTACAAATGTTACTGGTATACAAATGCCTGAAGTCATTGTCAATGGAGTAACTGCAAAGCAGAGTCTGTATCTCTGGAAAGATGTCTGTGAATGTTCCATACAATGCCGCTCATCCTGATGGAGATTGCAAACATATAGGATGGCACAGCTCGCAACTCCAGCAGTTCCGTATGTCATAGCTCTATATTGCATGCTCACCATGACTATGCCCATTCACACTCAGATCTGATGGTTTTGTGAGCAAAAAGCAAAGGTCATTCATTTATAATTACCCTTCATACCAAAAGTGGCCAGCCTTGCCTTACTGATCCATTATCACTTTAGTAATAAACTCCTTATTTGTCAGGATCCTTAACATTATGAAATTGCGAATAATCAATGTTTGAATTGCAGTATATAATGCAGCAGAGTTCTGGAAATGTAAATATTCAACCTTCATTTAAAATTGATATGTTGTCAAAAAAGAATATAAAGTCTATAGTGCCCTCTTGTGGCCACAATTTGATATTGTAGCACAATTCAAAATTCATTTGTGTATGTCATAAGAGGAATCAAATCAATGTGCTATCCTTATTTTAATTAGATAGTAATAATCCCAGCTGTTCTGTGTTAATTAATTGTCTAAGTGATATTTTGAATCTACTGAATAACGTGGGTTTTAACATTTTTTTTTAATATTTATAAATGTAAATTGCAATACCACTAATTGCTGATCAACAGTGAGTTATTTAGCATATTTTGTGTGAGTTTATTTGAAACTTACAGAGCGTCAACTAGATCATAGTTTAAATTAATGTTTCCGAAACCCTGATTTTACCAGCCACTCAATACACTGCTAACAAATCGATAGCATCATTAATAGATTTGCAGAAAATGTATGTGACAGAATAAAAAAACAATTCAATGTGCTATGCTAAGGTGTATTAGTGAGATTTATTAATACCCTCCTAGTCACCCTATACCTGCTTGACACTTGCGTTAATTACAGTGCAGGGCTCTCATTCCTTCTGTAATAGTGTGTTGCTATGTGTATGTTAAATTAAATGTTTATGTCTCTTAACCCCTTAAGGACACATGACGAATATATTCTGTCATGATTCCCTTTTATTCCAGAAGTTGTGTCCTTAAGGGGTTAAAGTAACATTTCAAGCACCATAACCACAAATTTACTGTTTAGTGGTTATAGTTCCAGGAGCAACCTGGCCCCATTCTAGGGTAAGTAAACCATTTGACAACTTATCAGGGGTCTGCCGGTCACCAGTCACCTCTTCCAGGAGAGCCAGAAGCTATCTGTTCTGAGCGCTGAGCAATCTGCATGACTTAGCTCAGGTAAGCTAACAGAAGATCAGGAAGTAGCTTTGAGTTTTACTGGTGGCTGTGATCAATGCCCAGGTAAGTTGTCAACATGGTTTAAGTACATTCCCTGGGAGGGACATTTCTTGCACAATAACCAGCAAAGAGCAACAGTGCTATGCCACTGTTATGCCAATAATTGTTACCCAGGACCACCATATTATTTGTGATTAGGACCCTTATTCATTAACATCCATGTTAGCCTCTCCAGTGCAGGGAGTAAGATTTAGAAATACGCAAGACCAAATCCACAAGAACATCTTCCTAGAGCTTGATACTGGCCTCAACAGTCTGAAGATCCAGGACCCAGGAATAATTAGAGACTGTCTGGCCACTAGTCCTTCCTTTCACATATGTCTAAAGGGTTATAATTTTTTTTTGGTAGAAATAGGTATAAAATCACCTTGTCACAGCTACTGATTGGAGCAGGATCCACTGATACGTTTTTACAGACAAACCTTACTAAAAGACAAAAGCACAGACTACATTTTTATAAACTGGCAGTTCCTCATGGCTCATGACTTATTATCTGACAAGTCTTTCTCCAAAACATTATTTTAGATCTGTGCTAAAGTGCAAAATACATATTAAAAAGTTCATGGACAGAGGAAGGATGATGCAGGTCTTTTTTCATTAGCATCTAGTAAAGTTTAAAGGGCACTAGACTTTAGCAAAAAATGTTATCCCCACCCCCTGACTTGTTGGCTTCTGCCATGACTTAACCCTGTATATGTACTCCATCTCATAGCATGCCATGTCTACCACCATAATCCTGTAAATACCCATAGTTGGTACACCAGAATCATTTCAAAAAAGTTCTGACTCCCCCTGATGCTGTTAACCAATGACAGCCCTACAATACATGACAATACATGGTCCTGCATTAATATGCACACCTGTAATTTAGGGCATCTAGGATTTGATGGCCCAATGCAAAGTCAATGGGTGATTCTTAGAACAGACTTAGCAAGTTTGAGGGAGTGTAAAGCAGAAAAATGGATACTTTTAAAAAATGCCTCAAAATTCTAGCATGATTAGTTGCTCAGCCTTTTAGCATCATCTCCTGCCATCAATTAAGGGTACAATTGCAGAACTCATCATGATAGAGACAACGTGATTTTTTGTAACATGCAGTTATCATTAGTCCTTACGACGCCAATAGATTTTTTTTTTCTTGCATCAAAAAATGGGGTGGGGGGAGGGTATATGTTGTTCCTAGGGTAAATGTTCCTAAATTATTCCTAAAATATCCATAAGTTGATTAAGTTGATAAATACCATCTAGATTTATATAGAGACAGACAAATGTACAGACAGACAGGCAATTTGTGCCAAGTCTAATTTAAATTATTAGTTTCCTACCATACTCATCATGTCATTGCCAAGTAACTAGCATCACAATCCTATCACTCATTGTAAGGAAACAATACAATTTTCATGCAAATGTAGCAAGCAAATTAAATTGCCATTCAGGGAAAATTTACATTTTTAATACTGGGATTATAGCTGTCATTCAACCTATTCTGTATGCCTCACAAGTAAGACTCATTTTTGTTGCTATTAACTAATTAATATTTGTTCTAATTTTGCCTGCTTTGACTATTTATTCTTAGCTACTTCCGTGAATATTTATTAGCTAACCAAATATTTTCTTTTTAGCATTCTTACTTTAAATCGATGAGCTGCTTTTTTTTTCTTTTTCATTATACTAGACATATGTACTTAAAAAAATTAAGTTGGCGTGGGCGGGGCCTGACCGCAGTGCAGGGAAGATGTGAACCACAAGAGCTCCTGCAACAAGCTACACTTAAAAGCTACTTTCACGCTCCACAAAGCGACTAATCGGGTCACAACGGCCACCAACCGAAAGGGGACATTAAACAGAATAAAATGATACCCCACAAACGGCACCACAAGCTACCCTCACCGATCAGGCAATCGAGGAATACTCACATGGCGAGCGCGGGAGGGACGGCCGCTCTCCCACCGCTGCGACTATCTACCTCGATGGCTAAAGGCCCTTGTTCCCCTGCCCATGGACTGGCAGGGGTCATCCCGGTCCAGACTCAACAGGGCTGCAGAACCCCGCAAGCCTCCAAGACTGCAAGTAGCACACACCCAAAGGCCAAGATGGTGGCTGCCGACCGAGCTTCTGAACCCCCACATGTCCAACCCTTATCGGCGCAGCCAGCAAGCGAGCACACCCAAGAGGACCGCATAGCGGCAGCCTTTGACCTTTTCTGGACACGGTGGCAGGCCATACTGGCACAGAACCAAGCAGCCACCCAACTGCCCACCACCTCTCCTGCAAGTATACCTGCGCTGAAATGCATAGCTATGCCACCGACCAACACAAAGCGGCAGAGGGCAACAAGAGCTCTACCTAGATTTAAAAATCGCAGACCGAGCACCCAGCACCGCAAGTGCGAGTCCAGACGGGCTCGGAGAGCCACTAAATGCGGACGGCCGCTCTACATACTAAAATGGTGCACTCGATGGGCCTATTCCCAGCCTACACCAGGCGAAGCCAAGAAAGCCTGTCAACGCCTTACCCACATGCAGCGATGCACAGCCGCAAACAGCACTCCGAAGGGCTGTGCCTCTGCATCAAGGGGACATACAAAGACCCACACTCACCAAACAGCACGGGGAGCGGAGAAGCTGCCACGCCACCAAGGCACTCAAGCAGGACCGGGAGGCAGCAGCGGAGTCCCTCTAACCTTCATGACCCGCGACGCTGAGGCCCCATGGAACTCTCCGGTATGTGCCCGGCCAGTGCCGACTACAGGAGTCGGCTGACTTTCATTTACTCTCACTGCCGCACTGAGGCTTGGACTGCTGCAACGCCACCATGTCCATGCACTCATGGAGGACTATGTCCCGCAATGTTATTAAGCCTTGTCCCTCTGAGCTAGACGAAATTTAGCACACTTAGATAAGCATGCATGCGCTAACGTTTATTGCCCTGGTCAAACACTGTCAAAGTAACACTCTTTATAAATGCACCTGTTAGCAATCTTATAACACGTTAAGTTTATTTAGTCACTGGGGGCAGCCTTAGAGCTGCAATGTAAACAGGTTTAAAAAGAAGGGACACTGCAGCCAGACCACTTCAATTAGCTGAAGTGGTCTGGGTGCCTACAGTGTCCCTTTAATATTGGTTTCCTACTTCAGGTGGGACTTAAACCACTGCTTACTCACTGACATGTCATTATGACTCTTTGATAAAGTCAAACATAAGAGGCTTTTTATATATTCAGTATAGCCCTGATAATAGCCTGCATATGTGCTGATTAAAAACATCTGGTTGTAAAATCATCTTTAAAGTGAACCTTTAGTCCTATTTAAAGCATTAGCTGAATAGCATTCATTAAATGAATACTTACCAAAAATGAATTTTTTTATTCATCTGTTCTAACGGAGCTTCATTCATTTTTCAAACATACTCACGTCCTCTCCAACTGTTCCAGCTCTGCCAGACACCTACCTTCTTGGGCATGAAGTCTTCTATGAGGACAGCCGCTGTTTGGGAAAGCCTATGCGCACCCAAAATGGGGGGGGGGGGGGGTACGTGGAATGCATGTGCTGTCCTATTGATGAAACTGGGTCCTCGGCAATCCAGTAGGCGGCTAAACTGGAGACAGAAATCATTAATGACTAAATGCAGATACTCTGTTTGCGAGGGAGGGAATGGCAATCATTTATATTAAATAGTGAAAAATCTATACATCTTCTAGTGATATTGCTAGCACAATGTATAGAGGTTATTGCATGGAGAATGTAGTGTACTGCATTTTACAAATTTTAGCACAGGTAAATTTTACAAATTTAAGCACAGGTATCCTCTAAGTATGGTACTTTTTCTATTTTTAGAAAGTGGCCACCCAGCCGAGGAAATAATTATTTTTAAAGAATTGAAAAATGTTGAATTAAGGTTGAGTTGAAAAGTCTCTGATAAATAGGGCAATGCAACAATAGTGTAAGAGTCCTATAAAAGCTGTGTAATGAGACCTCTAAAAATATAAGAAAATATGTTGAGCTAAATACGATACATATGGGATAACAATTCCCAGGGCCTGGGTAGGCGCAAAGAGGCAGATCGGCAAAGGGTGCAGCGCTAGGCTCCACCTTGTTGTGTTAGTTACCACTCCCTCTCAGTAGGCCCCCCACAATTGGCAATGTGCCTTAAACAGCTTGCTAGCTTGTAAACCTTTTCTTTTAGTTCTGCTGTCCAGCGCTGATCACAAGGGGACAGAGCCTTGCGGTGCACATATTGTCAATCTGCCTCTTTGCACCCAGCCAGGTGACAACTTAACATCCACTCCTCCCCTCCTAACAGCAACAGCTTCCATAGCATTACAGCTCCTTTGATTGCCAGGCCTCCCACATGTCCATATTTAGGAGGGACAGCCCTACATTTAGGGTCCTTTTCGGCCATCACAATTTTGCTCCCTGGTGTCCTGCATTAGTGGACAGCAGGGGTCTGTTTCCAGACAGCACAGTGTCCATCATTAGACGTGCTTGTCAATGGTCTCTGCATTGTCTGACGTAACTGGGCAAGCCAGGAAAATGTCAACCAGCCTGGCATGAAATGAATTGCTAGACTTACATTCCTAGTCTGTGAGCGGCCCTTCCATTTCAGGTAGCATAAGCTGGCATGACCCACCATGAACCATCCACACCCACCTGATCATATACCTCCCAAACATGTGAGGTATGAATTGTTTGACACGGTTACACTTCACCTGAATAAAACAGATCTCGAACTGATGTCAATAGAATAAGTTCACCACCCACTCTATTGAATTCACTACCTAGCATCTTCTCTGATACCATATTTTACCTACGAAGTGTCGCACCATCGCATGAGAACTTCATTTACTCACAGAGGGTGTTGGATCGCCCTCTAAAGATCCACAGGCGCATACCACCAGAGCCAAGTGTCACCTTTTGGCTCCACCTTTGTGAGTGATTCTAGTTATCGTCTTTTATACTTTTCTGTTATACAGATTTACACTATTAGTTTTATCCAGAATTAACCCATTATACATGGACAAATATGTATGTATGATTTTTTTTACTTATTGTGCTCCACTCCCAATTGTTTTAGATATTTTAACAACAGTTACACCAAAATAATGACCCAATGTAACTTAACACTACTTACTCAAATCATCATGAGAGGTTACTCACCTAAGTACTACACAGAGGTAGGTATTTCCAAAAAAACAAAACAACACATTCAATTTCACATAAACTTTAAAAAAAGTATTATAATTATTCTCTGGAATTTCCAACTTTTTACTGTGTTACCATATGTAGTCCATATGCTTCAAACACAATTTAAAAAATATGTGAGCAAAATATACTTTCATTAAAAATGAAATAAGATTGTAAGCTCATGTAAGCAGGGTCCCCAACTACCTATTGTTCCTGTTACATTTTGTTATTGTCTCACTTGGTAAATTACCCTCTTATTGTAAAGCGCTGCGAATAAGCTGGCGCTATAAAATACCAATAATATTAATAATAATAACAATAAAAAGAAAAACTAAACTTGAAAAGGTAAGTAAGCTATCATAGTGTGTTTTCTTTTGAAGCCTCTAGATGGCACTTTGTGTTTATATATTTTAACAATGTACTCCCTCTAAACATCATGGCTATTCTACAACATATTCATGGCCATTGCTTATCATCAGGATAAAAGCCATTGCTGCTGAAATGTTAATGCTACACCACATTTAGCCTAGATATTATCAAATAAACATATACTATGCGTTAGTTCAACAGGGATACAAATTCATCCTTTTAGATACAAGGTAGTGGGTTCAGCGCTTGGTGGTCAATAGAAAACTGAGACTGAATGTAAACAGGCTGCAACCTAAAATTATGACGTTCCCTCACAAATCGTTAAAAGAAAGGGGATAGATTTTTCATTTTCATCCTTTTAACCTGCTATATTTTTTCTACTTTTCTCTATAAAAAATTTGTGCTTTCCTGCTATATCATACCAAAAAAAAATGCTCTACAGGAAATATTATGTGTTCACAAACCAAGTGCGTATAGTGAAAATCAATAAAATAGAATAAAATATCCCTGTATCAGGGGAAGCTTCAACATCTTCCAACATTTAATTTGTGGGTGGCCAATTAGAATTGCCCATTTTGGCATACAGTGGTATCTCGCTTTACGAATTTAATGCGTTCTCCGGGACTTTTCTTATTGCGAATAATTGGTAAACCGAAACGTGATTTCCCATAGGGATGCATTGAAAACCAATTAATCCATTCTGGAGGTCAGAAAAAAGTCAAAATGAGCTGGCATGGAAACCAACCCACAATGCAGAACACACAGTAAAAGGTATGCAAACAACAAAGCTCAGCTCCCTACCTTTCCACTGCTTGAGAAAGCGCTGCAAGAAATTTCCTGAAAGGCTCCAAAACTCGATGCAAAAACCGCTCCAACACCTCCACACTCAAAGCCACGTGCTACCCACGGACTCCAGCATGCATGGGGGCAGCGCTATATACCTCTCAGGCGCAATGCATCCTGGGGAAACTTGCTTTGCATTGCGAAAAAAAATTAGTAAAGCAAGGCATTATTTTCAATGGATTTTCATTTGTAAACAGAAAATGATGTTAACTGAGGGGTTTGTAAACCGAGGTACCACTGTATTATCAACACAGTTATAAGCTACATTGTTTTGCTTTTTGCTTTTTTAACAGACAATCCACTACTTTTGTGTATATATATATATTATACCAACACTGACTGAGCAACAGTACTGCTTTATAGGATTTATGTATAAATACATATACAGTAGATTTGTACATTCACTTTCATCCGAATTGCATTTTGTCCAAATTTTGAGCAATCGCAACTCATCCAAAATTCCAAACTACAAAATGGCATATGGACAAATCATGATGCAAACAAAGCGGATGATGAGCAGACTGTCTCATATTTTCTTTTTATTGATGCCAAATAAAAATGTGATTGATGAGAAAAATGATGACTGATATTTAAGGGACAGCCACTAAATGTTGATTTTAATAGTGAATAGAGAGAAAAAAGAAGGGAAAGTGAAAAAAATCCATTTTATTAATGTTTACTTTTGATCCCTGAACCAAATGGAGTGAAAACGTAGTTACATAGCTACATAGTTACATAGTTACATAGCTGAAAAGAGACTTGCGTCCATCAAGTTCAGCCTTCCACACATTTGTTTTGCTGTTGATCCAAAAGAAGGCAAAAAAAACCCAGTTTGAAGCACTTCCAATTTTGCAACAAGCTAGGAAAAAAAATCATTCTTGATCCCAGAATGGCAGTCAGATTTATCCTTGGATCAAGCAGCTATTACCCTACATTGAAAGATATCCTTGAATATTCTGTTTGAACATCTGTATGGACTCTGAAAAAACTACTTCTTCAGGCAGAGAATTCCACATCCTTATTGTTCTTACAGTAAAAAAAAACCTTTCCTTTGCCTTAGACGAAATCTTCTTTCTTCCAGTCTAAACGTATGACCTCGTGTCCTATGTAAAGTCCGGTTTGTGAATAGATTTCCACACAATGGTTTGTATTGGCCTCAAATATATTTGTATAATGTTATCATATCCCCTCTCAGGCAACGTTTTTCTAAACTAAATAGGTTTACATTTGTTAACCTTTCTTCATAGCTGATATGTTCCATTCCTTTTATTAATTTTGTAGCCCGCCTCTGCACTTTTTCTAGTGCCATAATATCCTTCTTTAGAACAGGTGCCCAAAATTGCACAGCATATTCAATATGTGGTCTT